ATATATATAAGTATATTGACATCAAATAATATATATGCATATATATTTATATATATAAATATATATGCGTGTGTGTGTGTGTGCGACTCTTTGGTCGTTACGCATGCTATTCATGTCGGTGAGAGTGGCGAGTGTTTGAAAGCGCACCTTTGATGAACTGAACATTTAGTCCCCCACTACATATCTCTGAAGGGATACCATCCCGCCATCCACCCTACTCAACATGATTGTGAATCAATCCTCTAAGCGCAATATACTCATCCCGTAGACCACACCTACCGAGACATTGTAGTATGTACAGTTGTTATTGTACGAGAACATCCAAGAGGTGATAGGGGTCACTTCCAGCTGGCCTGAGAACTGCTTACTCTCCGCCAGGCGCATGGAGGGCCCCTCCTCCTCTGTAAACCCCATCAAAGCCTCGATGTGGCTGGACCGCCGACCGTGCCGCTTGTACCTGTGTGTGTGAGAGCCAATGAGTATGAGATGAGGATTGTCTCTACGTGTGTAGCGTAGTAAATTGTATAAAGGGAGGGGGGGGGGACGAGAGGGGGTCTTTAAATTAAATACTTAGGCCTATTTTATGCTTGATCTATGCACAGACACCTACACATATATAGCCCGTTCCCTCGGGTGTATCATCTATGGACGTGGTGTGCGATCGAAGTAGGGGTGCGCAAAAACAACAAATATAATCAGCATACCCTCCAAAAAGTTACACCATGGACTCAATCATATGTATATGTATGTGGCAGTGGCACCACTGGCCTGGATTGGTATAGGCACATTGCCGTTGATCCTGAACCACGAGTTTGCGTGGAATCTGAACCACACATAATCACATTTCAACTACAGATGAACCACGCACAACCACATACCAACATGTGAAGGTGCCGTCTGTAAAGGTTTCGTTGGGCAGATGCAGACCCGCACTGGCCGTGAATGAGAAGTAATCATCCAACCCTGTGGATAGGGTTTGAATTTGCAGGAGCTCAGTTCTATAATGTAGCTCAACTGCCGAGTGGAGGTCAGCGATTAAACACCTGTCACACGCTTGTGCTATGTTGATCGCTATGGGAACACGATGTAGACGAACAAAAGACAGAGAAGTATGTATATA